TCATGCCACCAACGGTGTAGTTGTGCCCCGCTGGGGGTTTCAGCACCCTTCTGTGTTATCCGACGATCAACGGGAGGCACATTATACATTACAAAACAATACTCTCCGCTTGCTTACTCAATTGTAGAAAACTCACACTGCAAAAAAATGCAGGGGTGATAAATATATAATAATATAAATGTTATATCTGCGACACGAATTCATGCAGCAAATGATAGCCATTCCCATGAATAAAAGCGTGCACGTGATCTAGTTACTACACCTGCTATTGGTGCCATCCCTAAATGCTTGTTTTATTGCTATATATAAAAATTGTTTATTTATTGTCAATGAGAATATTAACTTATTGTTTTTACGGATGACGTAAGAATATGTTATAAATAATTTTGCATCTGCAGCAAGAAAGAAATCCCTAGTTTTTACCCTGTGATTTGTAGGTCCGTACACGTGTTGATTTTATGATCTTGCGTGTGCTTGCACAGATATAACCTTTTTAAATATTAACAAAACAAGGTGGGGAAGTCGTTAAACTTCTCCTATGAGAAAATGATACTGCAAGAGAAAATCACAAAAGCACTTTTACTGTCACAAATTTGCATTTTATAGAAATTGATTCCTTATTTATATGGTGCATAAATAACTTGAATCCGTAAATGAAATGAAACTGATTCAATTGGTGATAATCGAATATAAACGTGTGACAGCTGTCAAACAGGAGTTTATTGTATACGGAGTCGCATCTGAAACACCGTAAGTTGGCATCATACAAGTGTCTTTTGCGACAAATCATGCGACAAATAGTTTGTAATTGAGTAATTGAGTAAATTTGGGGTAGGTACCCCAAGTGTGCTTATGTTGGTGATTAATTTGCAAAACGGCTATTCGACACTTAAATATGCACAGACTTTCTGTTGAATCGATTTTGGTGCTCGTATTTTAGTTTGAAATGTTGTGTGTCACTAAGTTTCAATTAAATCAGGCAAAAGCTAGAGAGAATGGCGTACACTGGACATAACAACATTTTACACTTAACATGTCCGCGAATTTTCAAACTCTGCACTCGTCACATGGTTCTCTGCTCATAATTAACTCTACTAATGCAGTTTTGTGTACATGTTCCCTCGATATCCCCTCATTCCGCTTTCATTTGTATTTTATACTCCTGATTTAGAATGACATTACTTCAACTACTTTGATATGAGCCACGACCACCGGTTTTAACCTCCCAGTCCAACCATGTTTTATGTAAAATCAGTTAAATACTGCGCTGACAATTTTCAAAGCTTTTTGATCACACGAAAAGTTGTGTGGTTAGTTTTCCCTTAATAAAAATCAAAATGGACACGTTTTGTTAAATATGCGTCAAAAAAGCCAAATGTCAGATTTGCGATTAAATTTGGAGGTTTATTTCCGTCCGGCTATGGCCATCATTTATTCATTATGCAATAAGGGTTGTGCGCGCCACTCTAATGGTGCTAAAAGAAGGGCACAATCCTGAAGACATTTGTTATGTACCTTTACGTCACCCTCGTGTCTTCTACCCTTATTAGGACAATCCTCGATATAATAGAAAGAAATATGAATATTTAACTCGTGATGACCGTGATGCCGATCAAACTTTGATTTCGTAGTGCTTTTAATCAAATAACTAATTTAGTAACAAAAATCAACATTTGATTAGATTGGTTAAAATTCAAAAAGCATGTGAACACTACGTTCACATTTGTTAACTGCAATAATTATTTCACTTGTCAATTGTTATTTATAATTAAGAATATTTAAATATTGTTTAAGTGAATAACCGAGTCAGATAATCGATGCTTTTAACGGAGCACACGCCTCTCCTGGGCTTATACAACATTTAAAAGCATGTCTTTTTCAAGTTTGGACACTGGGATAAAGGGATTGTCACACCTAGTCTGCATTTTCGCATATATGATTAAAGGAAAAGGTTACCTAAAATTTTAATTAACATTCATTATTACTAAATCTGGATTTTTGTTTTAGGGAGGTGACTCAGACAAGTGCTTTACTATTCTAACACCTTCAAGATTTAAAAATTTAACGCAATTAAACTCTGTTTACCGTGGATCAGCAAATACTAAAGAAAACATTTTCTCACAAAAATATTCTTTAGATGAATTGCACCTAATTTTTGTAGAAATATTTTGAGAAAAATGTTATTTTTGTAATTTTCGAATGATTTTATTGACATTCTCCTGTTTAGAAAAAAATACCAATAAAACGTTATCTCTGTTAGGCATATCGGCTTTATTTGTTCGTTTTTTAAAAATCATATTTTACCAATAAAAAATGCTGGAACTAATAATTTTATCTTTAGAAACCTTTGTCAATGACGCTTCTTGTTTGATTTGTTAACAATTTTTTGCCTTCAGTTCTGCTTTCGTTAAGAGAAAGACTGAGAAAATAAAACTTTCCTTACTGTCGAGTGTCAACATGCTGGAGTGTTTAAGATTTCTTAAAGTTGCAGATTAAGTGCCGTCACAAAATACTTCTGCGAATTCTACTGACTGCGCCAGTTAAGAAACAAGACTTGGTTTTCTAAAAAGATATTAAAAATGAATATAAATATGTATGTACTTAAAAAAAAAATCAAACACTTTCTGTTAGTGTTTATTTTGGGTTTTCCGCTTTCAATTATTTCTGTGTATTATCTTTATTGAGGTGAAATAAGAAAATGTTATGATTATCACAAGAATAAAATGTTCTTTTTTTAATATAACTCAAAATTAAGACGCTTCTTGATTCTCAGAAATTTATTTCTTGAGAGTACGTTTTTTTGAATATTAAAAATAATTCTTTTGGAAAATGTACAACACTTAACATTTTGTCGAGGCTTTTAAAATATTTTTTAGGAGACTCGAATCCCGTTAATATGAGTTTACATTTGCCACTGCTTCCTTGATGAGTTGATGACTCAAAATATATGCATACTAAAACTTTATAAATTCGCTATGGTATTTTTTTATAATATACATAATATGTTATTGTTAGGGCGTGTTATTTCGGTATTTTTTGCAATAACTAATTATTTTATAAAATACCGACTTTAGTATATTTCATATTTTAACCTATAGTTATCAAAATTACAAAATACAGTATGAAATAAACATTTCGACAGAAATAAATTTGGTATTTTCGGAATTTAGTCGTTATGTACATACGTTAGATAACTAGTTTTTTTTTTAATTCTGACTCACATTCTGACCAATAAGAAAAAAGTCTCACAATTTTTTTTAAAACTAAGGAACACGTGTCTTCAATATAGTTGTGTAGTTTATAAATAATAATCAAATTTTGCAACGTGCTATATGAGCCTATTCTATAAGTGTCATAAGGGCGGTCCTTGTAGGTACAAAAAGTAAACAAAAATTATATTGTAATACAGTCTTATTAACAAATGAAATGATTTTTTCTTTCTTATGGGAATATTAACTTATGTTATAAACGACAATGTTACATTTATCTTTATTCCAAAGGTGTCTAAACTTATGTTTATTATAAGAAAATATCTTTTTTTGACAATTTACTTGTTTTTAATTCCTCAAATTATGATCTTAGTTTCTGCAATAAAAAAATATAAAATAATACTTTTATTCTATATATTTTATTTTGTACAGCCACATTATTTTATAAAATAACTGATTAAAATATGAATAACAAAACTATTCTATATTTTAACTACATCAGATCGGTATTTTATAAGTATTTAGTTATTACATGAAATACCAAATTTCACGATTTAATTCATAATCTAGTACAAACTCTATTCAAAATGATGAAAAATTAAATATTCTTTTACATTTTGTGTACCATTTAAATAAATGGGCGTAGCACTCGCCAAATTATGTGAAACACCTGACATACATAGTTACCTCAATATCTCATGTACATGAGAGTATCAGGGTACATTAACATCCCTAATTATGAATTTGATAAAAAAAATTCTCCATCACGTACAGATTTTAAGTTACAGGAAAATAGTTTTCTCAAATTTTATCGTAAGAATTGTTTAGTTTAAATATAAATTAATTAAATAGAGGACGAAAGAAATTAATTTATTCACTAAACAAGAACAATGTTGAAAGATGTATAAGATCCTAACATAAATCTGTTGTAGATTTATTGTTGTGGTTTATGGGTTCAGCCTCTAAGGGTCCGCGCGGTTTATTAGGAGGACATTCTTTTCTACGCTGCTTGTACCCTATACTCGTAACAATTAAAATTAAAAACAATTTTTCATTCATAAAATGATATTAAGACTTACCTGATACTTGATAATGTAATTTACGTGGTACACATAAACAACTAGATAAATTAACCATCTAGGTTACTTCTTTAGAGTTTTAAAATTATTACAAATAAACATAAAAAGATTTTTTTCGGAGCGTCTACGTTCAGTATATTCTTGCTGATATTAATATTTTATAACATTTAATAACTCTATCCTTGAAAAACTATATTTATTAGTAATTATTATTAGTTTTTGTACAGTACAACAGAAAAAAATCAACAGAACCAAAATGCGAAAGTAGGGTTAATCAATGTATATTACAATAAAAAGTGTAAAAAATAGTACCTAGGTACATATTATAAGTTGCAAAATGCTTTAAGTTGTCGAATTTTTAAAAGTAGAACTAATTTTCTGTATAAATAAAAAAAAGTATCTATGTAGAATATTTTGCCGGTCTGCCATAATAACGAATCCCTTTCCACTGAATTATTTGAGAAAGTAGAAAAATTAAGTAGGTAGGTACACATAATTTCACCTACCATAATTTATCATTCAAGCAGTTGCTATCAACAAAGCTACATCTCCAATACTTGAATGACTTTCCTTTTTATGAGATTTGTTTTATTTATTTCGAGGATGGTTCTTTTTTATAGACGTAAAGTAAACGTTTCGTCTTTTAAGGAAAAAAAAAAGTAAAAAAATTTTGAACAGTTTTACTATTCCTATCACATTTTAAGTTACTTACGTCTTAAGTGTTGTGCTTCTAGGTCGTCTTCTTCTTGGGGATCTGTAAGTAAAAAATATTTTAATATAATTTTGAGAATCGGTTAGTTGGCTAAGTACAAATAATGAGTTGTGAATTTTGTAGGTATGTTGTACTAATGAAAGGTTGAAGTAGTGCGCAAATATTAATGCTAAACGAGTCTATTTAGAACAATTTAATTTTTACTCATTTGTTAAAGTGACATCATTGTCAAGAAAATAAAACCGCCAATGTGATGTGAGTCAGAAATCAAGAGAAAAATTGACTTTTTTTTGGCGTAAAATCAAATATAAAAAAGTTTTCCTCTTGTAAAGTCAATCCGGGAACATACTGTATACTGCTAAAGATCAAGTACCTGAAACTGGAATTTAAAATTTCACAACAAGAATGTTGATTGAGGTTTAGAAATTAGAAAATGACTAAATCTTCCATAAGCTCATTTATTAGTCAACTAGAAGAAATTTAAAATTATGGAAAAAATATCTGGTACCAATGGTATCTACACCACAAAATTTTCAAATCGCTTATTAAAAACCACAGAAACTCAAGCTGCGAAATTAATTATGGTGCGACTGATGACATAATAGATACGAGTATGCCAATGGAAACATATGAAAAAATAAAAAGTGAGTTTTTGAATGATTTGGCTGCCTGCAATATTTTAAAAATCCCTATTGAAACAATTGGTCAACGTAATAATGAGCAGTGGGATAAAGAAAGAAATAACACATTAACAGCTAGTAATTTTGAAAGAAATATAAATATGAAATGTAAAACCAGTACAGCAAATACTGTAAAAAATATCTTATATAGTGTAGGTGTGTATAAATTTAAAAAAATTGCCTGAACCTCTACCATGGGGTATTGATAATGAAGAAAAAGCAAAAACAAAGGAAAAGTTTGAGCAAATCACAGATTTCAAAGTGGACTCATGCGGCTTTTTTGTTGATGAAGAAAAAATATTTTTAGGTACAACACCAGATGGATTAGTTGGTTCAAATGCTATTGTTGAAATTAAATGTCTATTTAACGCGAGAAGCACAGATATTAAATCTGCCATAGAACGAAAACTTATTAAATACTTAGAGTTAGATGCTCAAGATAATAGTAAAATACTTAAAAAAAAATGTATCAAGTACAAGATCAGCTCCAAATTACTAATCGCCAAATATGTTATTTTATAGTCTACACTTCCTGCGATTTAAAATATTGTATTATTGAAAGAGACGATTCAAAATATTGGTACGGAAAAATGATAGATTGTCTAGAAAAATTTTATATGAATACCATGTTACCTGAAATAATTGATTCAAGACATAGTCGGGATTTACCAACACGAAGCATAATAAAAAATGATTTGTAAATATGCCAAGTTTAGTTTTAGAGCTTTATCTATCTTCTATATATATAAAAGAGTTCCGTGACTGACTGACAGACAACGCACAGCCTAAACCACTGAAGCTACAAACATGAAATTTGGCAGATATGTTTCTTAGAAGGTGTAGAGGTCCGCTAAGAAAGGATTGTTTAAAAATCAACCTCTAAGGGGGTGAAATGGAGTGTAAACGTTTAAACAAAGATAGAAACAAAAAAATTGGAAGATATGTTCCTTAGCGGTTGTGAAGGTGCACTAAGACGAGATTTTTCAAAAATAATTAGTAAAAACATATTTACTCTCTTAGAAAAGGGGGTGAACCGGGTTGCTCCTTATCAGTTGTAAAAGTGTACTAGGACAAGATTTTTTTTAAATAATAAGTAAAATTGTTTTTTGAAATCATATTTACAAGAGGGTGGAATAAAATGTTGTCAACACTTAAACGAAGATAGAAACATAAAATTTGGAAGATATGTTCTTTGGCGGTTGTAAAGATGCACTACGACGAGATTTTTAAAAATCGGTTTTTAAGGGGGTGAAATGAGGTGTACATGTTTAAACGAAGATAGAAACATGAAATTTGGAAAATATTTTTCCTAGAGAGTAGAGAAGTACACTAATCAGGCACTTATCACAAACCAACCTATAACGGGATGAAACGAGTAGGTGCAAACATTTGAACAAAAATATAAATTTAAAATTTTGAGATTTGAGGGTGCAGAAATGCACTAAGAAGACACTTTTTGAAAATTCGATGAGGCGAAGCGTTTATAACGTACTTTCGTCATTCTTTTAAAAATCGGGTTTCTGATGCTCCCGTGTTGCTTTGAGTTGATGAATTAAGAAAAAAATAGATAAACAGACTAACTTCACAATTCTTCTTTAAGAAACAACAAAAATTTATATTGAAAATCTACGTGGACGAAGTTACGGGTGCAAGCTAGTACATACATATTGACGTGCATCGGTTGAACTATATTGAACAAAAAAATAAATCGTAATTTCATTACGCTCCAGAATTAGTGGATAGTCGGCATGACCCGCGAATGAACTTACATGTAATAAGCTAATAAGTATACGCCAGCTTTCAGGGGGTCTGGAGCCTTAAGAGGGGGTTGCAAGGGTATCGTAGAGGGCAAAGTATACTAATTTAAGGCAGTTTTTGAAAAAACTATCAAGTGCGCTCTTGGGATAAAGGAAGAGACTAAGATTCGCAGATAGTTCTGTTTTTCAATGTCATCAGCTTGCCAAGAAAGTTACAAAGCTGTAAGCAGTTTTTGAAAATTTCGTGTCCACAAAAGCAGGGCCGTTTAAACTAGGTCTTATTTGAAACCTATTTCCATAAAAATGTTGTGCAATTTTTACGCGATTTTCTCACAAGTTGCCTTCTTACGGCAAAGAAAAACAATAACTCGCTTCAACAACTTTAAACGTTGAATGTAAACAATGAACCTCTTGTCTTGTCTTCTAGTATCACTGAGGTTGATTAATGATTAATTGATTACACTAGTACAAAGAAATTATATATGTATATAATTTTTTATTTATATTTACATTTTTTGTAATTAATGTATTTTTAGAGTTTTATTTCCAAATCTCAGTTTTCTTCAATACTCGCGCCACCTTTGTTTCAGTAGTGGAACAGAGTAAGTTTGTTCTTTTTGTAGATAACTTTTTATAGCAAATAAGGCTTTTCCTAAAATTTTGATTTGTTCTGAAAATTTTGACTTTTTTTTATAAACTGATCACAATCGTTGAAATGTCAATAGCTAAAACTGGTATTTATAAGAAGCTAAAACAGCTTAAAATATATACATATGTATTTTTGTAACTTTATAATTTTGGACCTAAAAGTCAAATTGTTCTTCTATAACTATTAACTACAATATAGTAGTAATATTTGTAAGTTCCTACCCAGCGCGGTGTAATATGTAACATTTTACGGAGGAAGAAGAATAAGTTATGACATAGAATGTCCCTTGAGATATCCAAAGCCCGAGCAAGAATTCCCTCGAGTACACTATGCGCAAGGCGGCAGAAAATTAATGCATTCTCCTGGGAAATCGAACCTCTCTGTCCCGCGTGGTTTTGCCTGTTGGCAGCTGTACATCTTTGCTATTTGATCAACTTTTCGTTATCTCTTTACTTTAACACGTTTGAGAATACCGCATTTAAACGCGACTCGATTTTAGTCCGAATCGATATCGATGGTACATTTGACAATTCCCGGACGGCGTAATTAGGAATCGCTTTCGTCACACCTCGTGGATAATTACAATTTTCACCTGGAAACACTCATAAACAAATACATTTCGTGCTAGTGCGCATATCTAAGCAACTCCGGGGGGACTCGCCCGGAATACCTTTGTGGCCTTAGCCCCGTACAGCATATGTTCACATGTATCCACGCCAGCGCCAAAAACTCTGATTAGTTAGGTTCCCAAGGGTAATCCCCGACCGAGTGGTGCTAGCCCGTTCCACGGCTGCGAACCCAATATACTCGCTAAGAACCGGCGAAAAAATTCAAAAAAAAAATTAAGCAAATGCTCAGTGATATTGATTTCTAATTGGGAAACAGCCGTGATGGATTTCAAGACGCTCCGACTTGCGGTGATATAAATTTTCAAGTCCGATCCTGTTCCCCAACTCTTCATGATTAGCTCGTACTGGCGCATGAATAATATCCGAGGTTAGAGCATCTCTCTTGCTCCTGTTTCCCAAGCAATCATCATCTAAATATTCACCGGATTTTAACTCAAGGTACATTTTAAATCCCAATTGAATCAAATCGAAATTTTATACCCACAACTTAAATCTAGAGATATAGAAATTATGCCTTCACTCATCAACACTAAGAAAAGACGAGCAAAAATTATTCCAAAGTCTGAAATTGTTGAGATAAAGTGTTTGAGTTGATGTGTGACGTGAATGACGTCGTGTTTTCATCTTTACATTTTTAAAATACATTTACGGTTCCCATATTACAAAACGTAATCCATCAGGCACTCAAGATCTGTCTCTAAATCGCAACTCCCCAATGATCATCTTAATGTTAGCGAAGGGATGAGGAGAGCATTATGCAGGTATATTGACAGGAGAAATGTATAGGGAGTATTTTTGCAAAAAGAGAAATTAATTTCGGGGAGTTGGAGCAAATAGTATAAATATAAGTGTGGTAAATAATGAGTGGGTAATTTGTGTTCGTGCCGAAGTTGAAGTCTTGGCACCGCGAGGCAGGTAACTAAATAATACACAAGATAAAGCGAGCAAAAGCACCAGCAGACGAGACTTAGCTTAGCATGAAAATAAGTTAGGAAAGGGATTGGAAGATTGCGCTGTGAGGTCCACAGGGACCTACATAAGAAATGAGATAAAGTAACCGACGAAGAACGGTGGCAAAATTGTCATATTTCCATCTCTGTCTAATTAGCATTCTTGGAGTAGACATTTCGCAAGATCCAAGAGTTGGTCCCGGCCGGTCTCCTTGGGGATTTCAGACGCCTGCAACACTAACATGTCACCTCGGTCTTTACTACGCCAAATACGATGCTTCGATCTCGCTATCCTGGGATGTCGTTGGGCACCTTTCGAGCTATTTTTATATCTGTTTAACGATATTGTTTAGCGATCCTTTAGAAACTTTTAGTCC